CTTCCTTCCTTCCTTCCTTCCTTCCTTCCTTCCTTCCTTCCTTCCTTTGTTTTGCTTTTGTTTTTTTTGAGACATGGTTTATCTGTATAGCCCTGGCTGTCCTGGAACTTGCTCTATAAACCAGGATGGCCTCAAACTCACAGAGATCTACCTGCTCTGCCTCCGAAGCGCAGGGATTAAAGGTGTGCACTAGTACCACCCAGCCTGTGGGTTTTCTTTGTTGCCAAAAAGTTCTGGGGGAGCGCACAGGCTTCCTGATGGTTTCCTCAGGCAGAAACTGGCAACAAAGTGTATTTCCCTTTTGCCTTCCTTGGGCAGGACAGATGAAATTCAGAATTCCAGGTCCAAAAGAGCCCTTTAGACCATTTAATTAAGATTTGCTTGGGAGGATAGAGAGATGGCTGAGAGGTTAAGAGCACTGGCTGCTCTTCCAAAGGTTCTGAGTTCAATTCCCAGCAACGACATAGTGGCTCACAACATTTCATGATATCTGGTGTCTTCTTCTGGCAAGAAGGCATACATGCAGTACAGAACACTATATATATAATAAATAAATAAAATTTTAAAGATCTTGGCTTGAGCAGTATGGAAGAAGTTGCAAAATATAGCAGTTTAAACAGTCCTGGGCAGTGGTGTGGGCTGGTATGTATGTGTGTTTCTGTGTGTGTGCGCGCACACTCACAAATGTGTGCACATGTGAAGTTACAAAAGGGGGTCAAGAGCTTTTCCTAATTTACTTATGCTTAGAAGAAACAAAACAAATTGCTTCCCCCATACCAAAGCCTAGATCACTGTGCCAGAGATGGAGAAAGTGGCTATTAAACACTATTGCTGGAGAGTCCTTCCTCAGCAAACCTAAGGCATGTATAAAAGGGGCAATGAGGAAGGAAAGGCAGTCACTCACATCCTGGGAGATGGGAAAGTAGAAACCCAAGAACCTTCAGTGGCCTGTGTTCACATCCATCCAAGGATGGATGTGTTTATGCTGGCATGGTCTAGAGGGGGCCAGGTGCCCCCAGTATTCTCAGGGTACCTGGGCTAGGAAAAAAAATAGCTAAAAGGCCTCCAGCTGACACTGTCTGCTGTGTCACCCTGGCTCCACTGGTTAGAGGTGAGTGCGAGAGGCCCCCAGTGTGGGCTTCTGACCTGTCTGGCCATGCCATTTGTGGGGATGCACATGGAGCCAACTGGGCCCCATTTCTACCTTTGGAGAAGACAAAAAGCAGAAAGCCCAGGAGAGCCACAAAATGGAGCCTGAGGCTCTGGAGTCCTGAGAAGCTGGCAAGATCCCAACATCCTGGTCCCATCCTGAGCCAGCACCTGATGAGGACAAGGTTCCAGTTTCTGACGGTTGTGCCCCATCACCTCTGGGCAAGGTCCCTGAGTCACAGTGCCTGGGGAAGGGGGAAGACGAAGGAAGTGAGCCTAGAAGAGCTTGAGAAAGTGCTCGAAGTGAGAGGCTGCTGTTTGCTCTTTGAAGGCGTCCCTGTCAGGCAGCTTGAGGCAGAAGACACAGACGTAGAATGTTTGGGGTGGAACTTCTTGGTACTGCAGTGATGCAGTGGCTGGTAAGAGGCTTCTAAAAGATGGAAAACCGAGCTAAGCCACCTGTGGTAGTGCATCCACATTAATGCTGCCCACTTGCTCAGAGAAGCTCTTGACAAAAGGGGGGAAGCATTCCCAGCACACAATGCACTCGGTGCCACAGAATGTTGAGGGATGGCACCAACAGAGCCAACACACTCTGGTGCAAATATCCTGGAAAACCCGTCCAGCAGGGCTTTGAAGTTCCAGGACCACATCTCCTATTGGCAGTGGATGCAGGCGAAGTGCTCAGGGAGTCGCATCTTCCCCATGATGGTCACAATCTGACTGCTGATGGGTTTCTCGCAGCCCCACGGACCCTTTGGCAACCATGGAGTCCCCCAGCTTATTCTGGTCAGACCGCAGAGCCCCCAGCATGCTGTTGAGCTGGTTCCCAGCTTTCGAGTTCCCTTTGGGGTGAGCTACTCCAAGTCTTCCGGTGGACCATAAACCCTCCTTTGTCTAAATAATTAGACCTGTCCCATTACTTAAAAAAAAATCTCAATTTTATTTCTTCAGCTCCCAGGCCTTGGCAGTTAACTGACCTGTTCCTGACTTGCCTTTTCCAAGAATATGATGTCTTTGGAGACTCCTTTAACTTGGCATATTACAAGTACAGTTTTAGCCACGTTTGTGCATAATTGTTTTACCCTGAGTAGTGTTCTGTTATATGGATAAAATCATAGTTTGTCTGAAAGATTTGATTCCAGTTTGAGGCTATTATAACTAAAGATGCATTTTCAAAGCGGCTGCCGGTATTTTCCATTTTTGAATGTATTTTTGACTCAGTTTGCCAATTTCTATTTTTAAAAGCTAGTTAGGATTTGGAATAAGATTGTAATAAATCTATGTATAACTCATTTTAGGGAGAACAAGTATCAATAATCTTGGGTCTTCCAAATCACAAACAAGATACACTTATTTAGGTCTTTAATTTCTCTCAGTAATTTTTTTTTATCTTTAGCATATTTTATCAGCTGTATCCCTTGACATTTAAAGTTTGCTTATTACTTCTACAAGATTTTTTCCATAATATTTTCTAAATAGATGGTTGTATTGTTCCTGAATAAAGAGTGTTTTATTTCTTCCTTCTCAATTTGAATATTTTTAGGTTTTCCTGCCTTGCTCCCAAGCTGCAATGATTAGAGTTTCAAATAAAATGCCAAAAAGATGTCATAAGGGTATCTGCCACCTTCGTATGGTACCTGGTCTTAAGAATGAAATATTCAGTATTTCATCATACAGGTATGTTACTAGCAGCTTTTTAAATAGGTGCCCCTTGAGTTAGTCTGATGGGGAAAGGATAGGAGCTCCACAAGGACCAAATATATCTGGGCACAGGGTCTTTTCTGAGACTGACATTCAACCAAGGACCATGTATGGATATAACCTAGAACCTCTGCTCGGATGTAGCCTGTGGTAACTCAGTAACTAATTGGTTTCCCATAGTAAGGGAAACAAGGACTATTTCTAACAGGAACTCAGTGGCTGGCTCTTTGACCTCCCCACTCCCCAAGGGAGGAGCAGTCCTGTTAGGCCACAGAGGAGGGATTTGCAGACCTGATAAAACAGGGTCAGATGAATGGGGAGGAGGTCCCCCCCCATCAGTGGACTTGGAAAGGGGCAGGGTGGAGATGAGGGAGGGAGGGTGGGATTGGGAGGGAATGAGGGAGCGGGATACAGCTGGGATACAGAGTTAATAAAATGTAACTAATAAGAAAAAAATAAATAGGTGCCCCTTATTAATTAATTAATAATTAATTTGACACAGTGAGACAGGGTCTCACTATGTAGCTTGGCTGGCCTGGAACTCACAGAGATCTGCTTGCCTCTGCCTCCCAAGTACTGGGATTAAAGGTGTGTGCCACCATACGTGGCTGGTAGAGAATTTTTTATTAAAGATTGATGATGGATTTTATTAAATGCCTTTTCTGCATCTAGCAAAATGAACTGGTCATTTTTCTTTTTTTGTTTAATATGGTGATACAGGTTGACTGACTTTTCCGAATGTTAAGCCAACCTTTTATGCTTGAGAAAAATCATATTGACTATTATGAATTATCTTGGGTATCTGAGTACTAGTTTCTTTTTTGTTGCTTTAATAAAATTCTGACAAAAGTACCTTTCGGAGGGAAGGGGCTTGTGTTACAATTCCAGGTTATGGTATATCACTGAGGGGGAACCAAAGCAGGCACATGAAGCAGCTATTGCCATCCAGTCAAAGGCAGAGAGGGAATGAATGTGTATGTACGTTCCTCATTTTCATACAGTCCAGAGCCCAAAGACTAGTACCACTTGTAGTGGGCAGAGTTTTCCCAATCAGTTAACATAACCAAGACAATCCTGCACAGACATACTCACAGGCCAACCTGATCTGGACAGTCCCTCACTGAGAATCTTAGGTAACTGTGGATTGTGTCAAGTTGGCAATTAAAACTAATCACTGTAATGGATGTAGATATAACTGAGTTGGATTTGCTAAAACTTTGTTTATAATTTTAGCATATCTGATTGACATTGGTCTATAGTTTTCTTTCCAATATTCACCCTCCCCTCCTCCCAGACAACCAATTCTTTTTATCTTCTGACTCCAAAAAATGAGCTGGGAAGTATTCCACCTCTTCTCATATCTGGAAAGGTCTAAACAGTTGGAATGATGTCTTCCTTAAATTTACTTACATACTTTTTAATTTCCTGTTCAGTTTCTTCAATACACATGTTACTGAAAAACATGGCACTTAAATTCCAAATATCTGCAAGATCTCCTGAGAACTTTTTGTTACTTATTTCTAACAATTATTCCACTATGGCCAGAGAGCATACTGTGCATGATTCAGATGTTCTTATGGTTATTGGTTCTTGTTTTATGGCCTAGAATATAATCTGTCTTGGGAAATGCCCCAGAAGAAAGCATGGGTTGCACTGTTTTGGGAGTGAGTGGCCTATAAATGTCAAAAAGGTCAAACTGGTTGATAGCATCAGTCAAATGTCCTGTTTTCACTGACTTCTTCTGGTGAGGGCTAATCTTGGGAATTGAATAAAACCCACGCAGCTGAACAGGATGAAAGAAGCTTATGCTTTTCGCCTGCTTGTCCTTACTTTCCTGGCAAGTTCATCTCCCTTCTGCTGATGCACTCCTTCACTGGGATGCACTTCCCCCCCAGGGGGAGGGATCAAAGAGCCGGCCACTGAGTTCGTGTCAGTGTGTTCTGTTTCTTAATTCGTCTTTATTATTCTGTTTTCTATCCCTCATTGCTGATTAGTTGTACTGCTGTTTTAGTAGTAAGTTACATGTCTAACTTATCCCAATCTACTCACAAGAGGTCTATTATGCACCTAAGAGTCTAAACAGTATGCTTTTGTCTTTTTCCTTCCAAATCACACATTGTTACTGTTACTACTGTTGTACAGATGGCATGTTACCATTCTGATAATTTAAGTGAGATTTAAAAAACATATCAGAAAAATATCTATTATACAGTTCTCATTTTCCATGGTCTTCATTTCTTTGTGTAGACAGATGCCTTTTTCTTTCTGATATCATTTTCTTCTGCCCAAATGATACTATTTAATATTTTTCAAAAACAGGTCTATGTGTAATGGCTTCTTTCAGCTTAAAAACCCTTTATTTGGCTTTTTTTTTCTGGATTTTTATTGGATATGAAGTTCTAAGTTTACAAAATTTTTTTTTTCTTTATAATGCTTTATTTTTGAGATGGGATCTGGCTATGCAGATCTGGCTGTTCAGGTTGGACTGAAACGTGCAATCTTTGCTGCCCACTTTTTCTTGAGCAAAAAGCTAGAGTCTTTGTAATCATGGATGGCTGGTGTATATGGGAGGGTGCCATATCTATGTTTTGTACACAGGCCTGTTGGTGTACTTGTGGAGGACAGAGTTGACCTGGAACATCTTCCTCTATCTCTCTCCATCTTGTTTTTTGAGACAGGGTCTCATACTGGAACTTGAGCTTCCCAACTGGCTGAATTGGCTGGTCAGAGGGTCCTCAATATTTTCCTGTCTCCTGTTGGGATTATGGGAAGTGTGCCACCATGCCCGTTTTTTGTTTGTTTGTTTGTTTATTTGTTTTGTTTTGTTTGTGGTTTTTTTTCTTCTTTTTTCTGTGGGGCTAGAGATCCAAATGCTAGTCCTTTTGCTCATATAAGGAACACTTTCCCCACCGAGCCATCGCTCCAGCCTCCATGGCTCTTTTTAGTACTGTAAAGGTGTTGATCTGCTGTTTCTTCCTTTGCATTGTTTTCCACAAGAACAAAAAGAAAACAGTAGATTTCTTGTGAACAGAGAGATTAATTCTGGTACTATGTGACGATGCTGCAGGGCATTTAGGAAAAAACAAACAAACAAACAAAAAAAAAAAACAACTAACGCCTCAAAAGAAGCTCTGCGCAAGGAATGGTGTTTTCTCTTAGCTCTGTTCTAGCAGATGCTCAAGAAAGTGAATGTTGCGTACTTGCTGAGATCACTCCAGCTTTTGGAGCCTGATGTCATCTAACAGAAAAAGCCTGTGGCCCTGAGTGGCTTCTCCCCGAATATTCTTTGAAGTGATGATACACTAGACTATTAGGCTAGAATGAGATTCAATTCTAGTAATGTGGTGGTCTTTGGAGTTGTACATATCCTATTTGAGTGGTCTGTATTCAAAATCCAGGGAGTAGCCTGTGAGGTATGTGATTGGGTTTACATTCCTGTTTCATAGCTCCCTCTCTAAGGCATGCCATACAAACTAGGATTTCTAATCAAGTGGGTCATACAGATTCTAGGTACTGGCCACGGACATTCTCCCCATTACCATTTTTAATGTGGATAAAGACTACATGATTTAAAATTTTAAATAATATTTGTCACAGTGACCATGAAATTGTATTGAGAAACAAAAGAATATTTTAAAAGGGTCTCTATCCTGTATAGCTTTTTCATGTAGTTTTATCTAAAGGAAATTTCACTCCTGTAGTGATTTCTGCTCACCTGTCAATAATATTACCGAAAGTCTGTGGTATTTAGGTGCTATCCCCCTGAAATTTTTATTTCAATTTACACCATTTCTATTAAATAGATTTCATTAAATTTATTTTAAAGTATCACCAGATATATAATATCAGAATGATTTCCAGGAAAATCATCTTTTATCATCACCATAAGAATCATTTCTCTGGTAGATTTCAGTTTAAGAATAAGCTAAGTTGCAGTTGCTGCCGCAAAGCCAAGGTGCTTCCAATTACTCAGTACATACCTCAGCTTCCATGTGATAATAAGCATTTTCCATTCTTCTAATATCCCTCATCACAGTTACATTTTCTGCCTGAAACAGAAAGTACCAAAGTTAAGTTGCTGAATTCAATTGTTTCTGCCTACCAGTTAAGAAGTCTGAGTTAGGCATGGGAAGACCCACAGTACGCAAAATGAACTGTCTGCCTTGGTGTTTTAAACTTCTTTACAACTGCCGTAAAATCAATCAGAGCCTACAAATACTTGTTCATGAAAATCAGTTTTCACCTCATTTTACAGTCATTTACTTCATTTGTAGAGGAAGGATGGACTTAATTGACAGAGTACCAATCATGTGTCACTTTGGGTGAGTTATGCAGTATTTTTTTTTTTTTTGAGTCTTTGCTTCCACTTGTATAAAATCAGGTCAATACACACACCATCTGGTTGTTATAATGATTTGAAAACAAGGTATATGTAAAGTACTTGTACAGAGAAGACTATAGACAGTAGATGCCATAACATTATAGAACTCTGCCATGCCTGTCTTGCTACAACATACTTCTCCAACTATGAACCAAACCAAAACAAAAAACCCACAACCAACAAGTATCCTTACATGACCTGACTGCCCTTGAGTTTTCCTACAGATATGAAAGGAAGCTAAACACAAGTTCTGCCATACAGGAAACAAGTAAAGTCCCGAGTGAATGCTTATCATTTGACGCGGACACAGCCATGTCAAGGACCACCATGCCTCAGTCCCCTGGCAGTGGCAAAGCCTTCTTCCAGTCAGAACGCTGACGGTGTATGCAGAAAATGGCCACCTTATTTTCAAACCCCCCCCTCCTCCCACACTTTACACCCTAGAGGTCAGTCCTGAGGTTAACTAACCTGGCCTCCTTGTTCAGCTATTTGCAGCAACTCCACCTCCTTGTTCTAATGCATCTAATAAACACATGGAGCTGGAGTGCTGCAGCTTCTCTACCAGACAGCACACCTTTCCGTGTCTACGGGTATGTCAGTTGATCGTTCCCTTTCTGCCTCAGGTAGGTCAGTCCTTGGAGCCATGTAGAGCATGGCACCTCTTGATGCTTACAACCCTAGGTCAGAATCAGCGTTCATTCTAACATTGTTTCCATCTTCCCTCTGTACCAGTGAGAATCCTGGCTCTTACTCATGCATTAGCTCAATACCAGTATACATGTAAAGCAGTTTTAGAACTGCTAACTAGCATACCCTGGAAACCAGACTTATTCATCAAAGCACGGGGTTTCTGTACCTTCTTACTTACAGTTTCCAGTTAAAAATGATTTTCTAATTACTTAGGACAATGCTTTTCCACACCCTCTTTAGTACAGCTGTGTCCTTCGTTTATAAAAGAATTGGGTCAATTTATCATGGTTTGAATTGTCCTGGGATTAACATCTGACAGCCTGGTTGATAGTTTTCCTCCCCTAGCTTGAAAATGTTAATATTTGCTTTTTGTGACTGACAGCTCCTTGGGTTTTGACAGATGCACAGGGTGCTGTATCGACCACTTCCGCTCAGTGAGGAGCGGTTCTTCCACATAAATGTCCCCTGTGCATCCCTCTACAGTCAACCACTTAGTTGTCTCCATGGGCTTGTCTTTTCTGAATGTTGTCTGAATGGAATAATGACACATTAGCCTTTTTGGTCTGGCTTTTTATTTACTAATATGCAACTAAATGGTTACATTTTGGCTACAGTATAAGTTAAAGACAAGGAATACTGTCAAACACCCTTCAATATACAGATTAACCCAGCAAGCGGGATTGCCCAGCTCCATGTGTCAGTAGTGCTAAGGATGATAAATAAATCTTCCATGCCAGTATAGTTCATGAGGTTTTCTTGATTAAACTCCAGTTTTGTTTCCACATACATATAAAGGCAGACTTTTAAAACAGAATGTTCAATTTTGTTTTAAATTGATAGCTATTTAAATAATATAAAAAGTAGGATAATAGTTTCAATAGCCATAAAAAGCTATATAAGAATAAACTTAAAAAATGAAAACCATACAACTGTACAGAAAAAGATTGAATAAACTGACTACAACACAATACTGTAAAATCAGCAATTAACCTGAAAGATATATGCTTAGTACTGAATACAAAGGGAAGCTTTATTGGTCTGTAGAGGTTGCCACCATCTCGAATGACAGCCCTGTTCCCTGTAGGCAGGAAATCTTTCCAGTAGAACAGTAATGAGGGAAGAACATGGCTTTGAAGGTTTTTACAAAGATGTACTAATTTAAACAGCGTGGATAATATAGGAATATCCCAAGGACCCAATGAACTATTTCTCTAGATCTGGCTCAAAAGATCTTAAGAATGCAAGAAAAAAAGACTTGGAATATTTCAAAACAACAGAGGCAGTTTAGAATCCTCATGTCATAGTTATGTTCCTACTCCTGAGCAGCAACTGTGTGATTCAGGTAAATCCTGAGAGATCTCAGCTATTTTGGATTACCACAGTTGTTTGCCACAGACATGCAGATACTGAGGTATAAGCTAACTTGTCTATTATATTATTCTTGCCACAACAGAAGTTAGGTTGTCAGGCTTTGTTTCTAGATTTATTTCTGTGTATGAGTGTTTTGTTCACATGTATGTCTGTGCACCAAGTGTGCGTTTGGTACCCACAGAATTTAGAGGAGGGCATCAGATCCCTGGAACTAGAGTTACAGAGGACTGTGAGCTGCCTTGTGTGTACTAGGATTCCAACTAAGGTCCTTGGCAAGAGCAACAAGTGCTCTTAACCACTGAGCCATGTCTCCAGCCCACAAGATTTTTTTTTTTTTCTAACGTGGTCACAATAACTAAGTGTGGTTGTCTTTTAGGATGACTTATCATCCTGTGATGTAAGGCTTGGGATGAACGCAGCATTTTGACTCATGCAGGAATATACCAGGAAAGCCAGGGAGCTAATCATATAAAACCTGACTAGCCACAAAACAATCCAACTTCTCAGTTACGTAAACCAGGGATTTTTATTTTTAAGTTGAGATCATTTTGCACAGTTAGGATGGACTAGTGAAGGTTATGAATACAGCTACTTATCTAGTTAAAAGAAGATAAAACCTCTATTATTTTTCCAAAATAAACTCCAAGCATAGAACATTTAATGGATTATTAAGGATTGCTAAAGATTCCAGAATGTGTTATTTAATGGTCATTTTGCTTTAAAACCATGAACTGAATAAATAGTACATTAAAGGTAGAAAACATACAGAAAAGAATAATGAATTTGGCTAAACTGTCAAAGCTTTGAAAGCTTAAAAATATGTAAGTTATATGACAAAAATACAAATTTGTTTTTTAATACATGCTAGCCATAAGTTATTAGTAATCTTAATTTTTAAGGGTCCTAAAATTAATAAATTAATGCAAAAAAGGTAAACAAAAATGGGCAAGTATTTTGAACTAACAGTTTAGACATAAAAAGCTAACTTCTATTGTTAAAAAAGGAAATTATCACTTATTTGGACTTGACGAATTTGAAATATTACAGAAGAAAATAATGCTGGTTTTGCAAGTGGAGAAGGCATAAACTAAGTTCCCTGAGTTCCTACCATTCCCCATCTTAATTTGAGTATGACCAGAAGCTGATTTGGAAACAAGGTTTGAAAAAGTCATTTTGAAGGTAATTCCAAAAAATAAAAATAAATAAAATAAAAAATAAGTGGATGGGGGAAGCAACACAGAAGAGAGCCAATAAAGGTTGTATTGTAAAGCAAACTACCCTTAGAGAGAACTCAAGTTAAACCTGCAGAGAAACTCTGAAAGTGAGGTCAGAAAATATCTCAAATTTTCCACTCAAGTGCAGAAGCTGGGGTCTGCTGTTCACTCTTGTCACTCAATTCAGTTCTTTATTGCCTTTACTAGAAGACTACTTAGGGTGGGACAGGAAAACTTAATTTCCTGGTATTACTACCTGACCTCATTTGCAGGAAGTTTCAGAGCCTGGAAGCTATTACACTCAGACAATTAGTTCACATATGACGGCAGACTAGATTATTAATGTCACCTGCTATATACCTTACCGGCCATCTCAATCATAAAGGGAATAAAGTAGTAATGTACTGTAATAGTTAAGAGCATGGGTCAAAGGTCTTGCTTGGTATCTAAAAAGACAGCATCTCTCAGCGGTGGGCAAGCTATTTACCAATAGTTGCTTTGGTCCTAAGAATCCTCTTCCGTGAAACAGCAACTGAAATATTAAATTTATAGAGTAGGAATATTAAATGAGACAGCAATTGTAGAAAGTCTATTGACAGTAAGAAGCTGTCTTAATCATCAAGAATATAAAAATGCTCTATCGGACACTGCTGTGTTAGAATCTAAAATATCTTCTCAAGCTTGTATTTTGAGCTTGTTTCCAAGCTTGTAGTGTTATTTTGAAGGCTGTGGAGCCTTCAGAACGTGGAGCCTGGCTACAAAAAGTGGGCCACTAGAGGTGAAAAATAGGGCTATGTTTTGCTGTTACCTCTTAGAAGCCTGTTCTTTTTTAATGCAGGACACAAAGGGAGTGGATCTGGGTGGGAGAGGAAGTGGGAGGAATAGAGAGAGGGGAAACTGTATTCAGATTATGTTGCAGGAGAAAATAATATGTTTAATAAGAGGGAAAAAGGAATATAAATAATGATAAAATTAATATATAAATAAAAGAGATAAAATTGCTTTTTAAAGCTTTATATACTTTTGTTTTTCGTACTTTAGAAGCTAGAAACTAATAAGCCGGGTTTAGAGAAAAAGATAAATAAATGTCTCTAAATATTTTGCCCTTTATCACAAAAAGTTATCTCTCCGATCAGTCTGCCTGAGACATGTATACTTAATAAAAGTAAGACAATTTTGAGTAGGCAAATACTGGAGTTTACAACCTGAGTTGGTATATAAAATAGAAAACACAGCATTCACTATAATCTGCAATGTTTGTAGTGACTAAAACCTAATCACTAGTGTGATGGTATAAAATGGTCTCTGAAGTTAGATGATGAGGGTAGAGCCTCATGGATAGAATTAATGTCATTATTAAGAAGAGGCTCCATTGAGGTGCCTTGTCCCTTCTCTTATGTAAGGACACACGGAGAAGGCGCCATCTATGTACCATGAACTGAATTTTCACCAGACCAAATCAACACTGATGGTGCAGTAACCTTTCTAACCTCCAGACCTCTAAACACTCAATTCCCATTGTTCTTTTTTTTATTGTTGTTCTTTTTTATTATTATCATTTATTACAATTTATTTACTTTGTATCCCGAGGGTGGCCCCCTCCCTTGTCTCCTCCTAATCCCACTCTCCCTCCCTCTTCTCCCCCTATGCCCCTCCCCTAGTCCACTGATAGGGGAGGAACTCCTCCCCTTCTATTTGACCCTAGTTTATCAGGTCTCTTCAGGACTGGTTGCATTGTCATCCTCTGTGGCCTGACAAGGCTGCACCCCCCAGGGGGAGGTGATCAGAGAGCCTGCCACTGAGTTCATGCCAGAGAAAGCCCTTTCTCCCCTTATCAGGGAACCCACTTGAATTCTGAGTCTATGGACTACATCTAAGCCAGGGTTTTAGATCCTTTCCCTGCATTATCCTTGGTTGAGGTATCAGTCTCTGCAGGACTCCCAGGGCTCAGGTGATTTTTTTTTTTTTTTTTGGCTCTGTTGGACACCTTTTGGAACTCATGTCCCCTCCGAGTCTTTCTATTTCCCCTTTCTTTCATAAAATTCCATGCACTCTGCAGAAATTGTAGTTTATTTACACAATGGAATACTACTCAGCTATTAAAAACAAGGATATCATGAAATTTGCAGGCAAATGATGGGAACTAGAAAAGATCATCCTGAGTGAGGTAACACAGAGCAGAAAGACACACATGGTATATATTCACTTATAAGTGGATTTTAGACATATAGTATAGGATAAACATACTAAAATCTATACTCCTAAAGAAGCTAAACAACAAGACCCTAGGGAAGATGCTCAATCCCCACTCAGAATGACAAACTTGATAGACATCAGAAGTAGGAGAAGACAGGGAATAGGACAGGAGCCTACCACAGAGGGCCTGTGAAAGACTCTACTGATCGAGGTATTGAAGCAGAGGCTGAGACTCATACCCATTGTTCTTAAGCTACTCGGAGTGTGATATTCCCCTGAAGTAAGACAACATTAGGTTAAGTGCCACTTAAATCTGAACAGTGTTTATGAGCTCTTAATAAATGTTTCTAAATAGCACTAAGTAAACACTATTTAGAACTTTCCCCATTAAAACAATGCTGCAACTGATTGCTGTATCTTCATAAAAATTCATAAACCTAAATAATTGACCTAATAACCTATATACTGCTTCATTCTTTTTCTTTTACTCATTCAAGAGCACTTTTCATTGTTTGCCTGGCGTATATGAGCATTACTCAAATGGCAATCATTTTGAGAGATAAGTACAAGAATTATAATAGACATGACACATTTTATCTGAAGAAAGAAGAGGAGTGTTGCATAACAGGGATTAGTTTTGAGAAAAGAATGACAAGAATGTGATTAAGGTCTGGATCTGAAAAACGAAATAGAAGTTATCTGGACTAAGAGGGGGAGAAAAGCCAGGACATAAGGATGACAGTCAGATTCCATCTTTCAAGCCAGTATTTAGACTGGGAGGGGTCCTTTAAGCAGGGGGTGCATATTTACAACCCAATATTCCAAATTTTAAAACAAGGACTTTGTGAAGGCCATAACTTGCCCCGAGAAGGACAATACATGACTTTTATACTATCTATATCTCATATAGATACTATCTATATCTCATATACATGAGTGCTGTCCTCCATCAACAAAGATAACTTGGGAGATTACCGTACTTCTGTGCCTTGCCTTGAACACCAACTTTGAATGGAATTACTGATTGATTTTGTTTTATATATTAGAAGTTAGGAATGTGGCTTCAGATTATGCTCTAAGTCAATGACATAAAAAACTTATTACATTATTCAAAAAGGACTGCATCAGGTTGCTTAGGAGATTTTTTTCCCTACATTTTGAACCCATTTTACTCACACTGTTTACAATTTACATCTAAACTTTCCGAAAGTGTAAATAACCTGCGTTCTCCTCCCCACCACCCTCACCTGGGTCATTTCTATTATTCTGACTTTAAATGCAAAACAAATCCATTTTCTTTTAAAAATAAAGAGCTGCTTTTCGAAGGTATGTCACTTATAGTAAGTAGAGAAGCAAGGCTGAGCTGCACTTTCACCAAGACAGAGCTACCCCAGAATGTATGGTTCCTACAGTTAGGATTCTGTTTTGTACAACAGTAACACTGAGACAGCTGACTCTGTGACTTCTGTTTTCTTTCTTTCATCATAATTATCTCAAGTGTGGCAAAGATGTTAACAACTCTGATTGTGGTTTCAGGAACAGGATTTCAAATACTGTCCCTTAAAATTCAGGGCTTAATTTCATCTCTCTAATTCTGGAAAATGGGAATATTAAAACAGGCCTAGCAGTTGCTGTGTGGAGTAAGTTAGGCTAGCTCCGTTTTTGCCCCATTCCTTAAAAGGAGGGAGGCTTAAGGTGCCATGTAGTTAGCGATTTGTTTCAGACAAGTCTGGGAAGCAGAAACATTTTAGCTATGATACCTACATACCCTGACTTAACAAAAGGTTAAAACTAAAAAGTTGGAATTTGGGATTAGGTGGTCATCATAAACCAGGCAAGCGTTTACACGTAACTTTTCAAGAAGACATTTCATCACCCTCAGCTGAAAAACAAAACCACTGTGGCAAAGGCCACCGGATAAAAAACCTACCCAAATTCGAGATTTCAAGTCAATAACGGCTTTCCTCTAGACTCCGCAAGAAAGGGCCGGGCATCCCCTGCGCTCCGGAATGGGCAGGCAGAGAGAACCACGGAGGTAACAAAGCATCCCCGCCCGGCCGCCCGTCCCCGAAGGCTCACCGGCAGCCCCTGCTGCTGGAGGCTCTGCATGATGTAGTTGAGGCGGCGGCACACGCTCTTCTTGGCCTCTGCCGCCGCCTCCTTGGTGCTGGCCACCCTCACGATCACTTGGGCCCGGTCGGGGCCGGCCGAGAGGTCGGCCGCGCCGCTCACGTGGACCTCGCGGGCTCCAGGCTGGGCCTGCGGGTTGTGGGGCCGGACGGTCGAGATCTGATTGTTCTCCCGGCCCCGGTCGGCCCAGGGAACCAGCTCCATGAACACCCGCGATGAAGGGGCGGGTTGCAGCGACAGAGCTGGGACCAGGTGCGTTGCCATAGCAACGCCAGATTGACGCCGGAGAGTGACGTCCAGCTTTCGCGCGCCGCTCGTCAGCGCAGTGGAGGCCAGGATGGAAGCGGCGTTGCTGCTGGCTGTCGCGGGGCAGCTGCGGAGTGGAGTCGGGGTGTACCCTGAGAGAAGTAGGCCTGTTACGTCTGTCCACGTTTTCTAATAGTTACCTCACGGCCCGCAGGAGCCTGGGCGGGCTGTCCTGGCCTCGCTGCCCGTGAGCGTGGGCCTTCCACGGGGCCACCGCCCCGCCCCGCCCCGTTCGGCTCACGCACTCTGGTGCCCATCCTCCGCCCCTCCGGAGTGGGCCGTCCCCTCCCCGCGGCCAGCCTGGTCTTCCCCGGGACGGTACGGGGCAGGGTCGGCCTCCCCGTTTGTGAGGCTCCCGTGGTCTTACCCGCAAGTGCTTGTTTTGATTGGTGAGGCTTCTCTCGTGAGGTGGAAGGCACGTTTTGCCAGTGAGGTTTTGGGGGCACACAGTGGGGGTTCCTAGAGACAGTTTTTCCAGGACAGGGTTGAGATCTCTCATGGCTGCTGTGTGTTTACTGGAGGCCCGTTGTGGGTGGAGCGTTGGCGTGCGGAGAACGGGGACATAAAGGAGCATGGCTGTTCGTCACAGCTGCGATCTCTGGAAGGGTCGTGGGGGTAAAATTCTGGTCCTGAGCACGGGCCTTCGGCGTGGGTAATGACAGGCCTGTCACGTACTCTTCTATTATACCTGCCTGTGTCCTCTTTTGAGGACAGTGTGTAACCCTAACTGGCCTGGAACTGAACTCGACCTTGCGGAGAGTTTCTCCGCATTTCTTGACAGCCTTTACAACAGAAAGCTGACTCGCCCTCCTCCAAGGCCCCCCATTACAGTAATCTTCCTTCCAACCCTCAACGGCTCCCTTTCCCTCCCTCTTCCTTTTCTTCCTCTCCTCCCTGTCCCTAACCCTTTTTTTTCCAAGTCCCTGTGCTTTTCCATCTTCTCCCATTCTCTCTTCTTCTCCTCCCTCTCTCCACCTCTGGAGTGAATTCAAAACCACCACGCCTGGGCTATACTCATTTCCGTAATCACCAAGTTGTGGTCTTTGTGAAGACATCTCACCCGATTACTACTAGAACTTTATTAACAGAATGGGGAGGAGAAAACTTTGGGCGGGGAGAATGTTGGAAGTAGTTTCTTACAGGAACTTGAAAAAGTCTACAATCTTCGTGATTTTTTTTCCCTCAAATTTTAAAATTGGAGGAACTCCTGTTTTTTTTTTTTGTTTTGTTTTTTGTTTTTTGTTTTTTTTTTGGTGGACCCCAGGAATTGAACTCAGGTCCTCAGGCTTGGAGTCAAGTTCCTTTATCAGCTGAGCTGTCTCACTGTTTTGGTGAACAAGATCTGCTGTCATTGGGATTTAGGATAGCCTAGCTGGCTGTCCAGCTCCAGACACCTGCCTGCTGGTGGAAAATGTTTTAATATAGTAGGATATATCGTCTCCAAAATGAATTATGGAATGAGTGATGTCATAGGCAGTTAAAACTATAAGTTTTTAGAGTATTTATAGTACTATAAAAATTTCATGGGGCTGGAGAGATGGCTCAGAGGTTAAGAACACTCACTGTTCTTCCAAAGGTCCTGAGTTCAATTCCCAGCAACCACATGGTGGCTCATAACCATCTATAGTAAGATCTGGTGTGCAGGCAGAATGTTGTATAAATAATAAATAAATCTTAAAAAAATTGTTTAAAAAAATAAAATCATTAAAAAAATTTCAAATTGGTGGAAAAATGATTTAGTAATATAATTGGTTAGCTGTATTGAAGAAATTAATCTGTATATTGTCTTGCACTGAAAATAACATTCAAAGGAAAAAAATGATCAAAATATGCACCTAAATGTAATTCTGAGGAACGAAGATTTTTTTTTCTTAAGCATATTTCAAATGCTGAAACAGCCATAAAGGAAAAGTCTGAACACCAAAAATTGGAAGTATATAAACCAAAAACAAACAAGAAGAGGTGAAATAAATATTTGTAAATATGTATAAAGGGGTTAGCGTTTAGATATTTAGAGTGCTGTGCTCCCCTCCTCCCAAAATAGATAAGGAACGTAGAGATAGTGTTCCCAGGTGTGAGCTGCCATTGATTCCTAACACAGCTTCATATGCTCAGAGTTTTAGAAGTTCAAGATCAAGGCATCAGTAGGTTTGACTTCTCCTGAGGTATTTCTGGTGTGTAACAGCTGCCTTTCTAGGGCCTTGCCCCTGCACTGTTCTTGGTGTCTCCTCCTCTTCTTACTAGACCAATCCTATAAGATGGACTAGAAACCAGCTCCTGGGTCTTCAGTTAACTTTAATTACCTCTTTAAAGGCCCTGTCTCCAAATACAGTCACGTTGCACCTAGGACTTCAACAAATGAATGGGAGTGGGGCAGAGCACATGCCACTTCCTACAGACCCAAAGTACAGAAATATCAATGATCTGTAACACAAGAAAGAAAAAAAGAAACCGTTTATTGGCAATTAAAAAAATGAAAATTTAAACATATAGAAAGATCTTTTTACGACTGTTATCTAGTCGAGTGATAAATTCAGAATGCAGAAAAATAGATAAAAGTAATTTTAAAAGAAAGGAAGATAAGTTCTTAGTGACAGACCTATATAACAAAAAAAGAGTAGATATGCCTTGATGATTTATGAGTTTTTCAGAGAATGGATGGGAGTGAATGTATCTATTTGTTCAGCTTCTTCCTACATTAAGGCTCAGCCACGACCAACCATTTTGAACAAGGTAACTGTACCAAGTTGATTGAAACCAGAATATGTATCCAAATTATTTTTCTTGTTCTGAGAGAAGAGACATGGAGTAAGAGCAAAAATCTGTTATTAGTAGGTCGTCAGAGATGTGCCATCATTATGCAAATGTATCGACATAGATAAGCATCTTTTGATTAAGGCAGCACTGATCTACAGATAGCATTGGAATCTTGCTGCTTTGATTTCTGTGATACTTTTCATATAGAAAGCTCTTTCTGTGAGTCACTGATAGGACAATAAATTTCCACCTAATTATGTTCTGAGAATTCATAAATTTATACTAAAGATCCTTTTCCCCAACATAATATCTTTATTATTTGGAAATGTCACACAATGCATCCTGATCACACTCGATTTCTATTCCTCCCTGGTCCACCCTCCCACCCTTGTGTCCTTCCCTCCAAAATGTAAACAACAAAAACAAAAAACAAAGCCACCAAGACCAATTTGTGTTGCTTATATTCTCATTGGAGCGTGGTCAAACTTCCAGTGGCCTGGCCCTTAAAGATAACTGAGAACTTCCTGTCGCCCACACTAGAAGCCATCAGCTGTGAAGAACTACACTTTTGAGCATCCCTAATGAAATTGAAGGACTCTTCAATGGCTTCCTGTCTAGATGTTTTTTTGTTTTGTTTGTTTTGTGTGTGTGTGTGTGGGGTGTTATGGAAGCCTTCAGTGTCTGTCATTCAAAGCTTTGAATCTCCGGTCCTTACCACTGCATCCTTGCATTATGCCACACAGACCTCAAAATGGTCCCCTATGGCAGCCTCGACCATGGTTCTCACATGGGCCCCAGGCTGCAGCAGGGAGCATGGACACCAACATGGCCTCTGGAAGCAGCATGGACCAGTACAGAAAATGAACTGTTCTTCACCTAGACACCATTCTGCCAGCCCTACTTAGCAAGGACATGCTCCCTTGTCCACCACAGCCATGCTCCCACACCTGTTGGTGCTGCTGTAACAGAGTCTCTAGTTTTGCCTCTCCACTGTGTGTACTGCCCCTGTCAGTCAGCTTTCCTACCTCTCCATCGCACATTTATTCATGGAAGTGGCATTGCAAACTGCAGTGCGTTACTCAGTATATATGTGTGTGTGTATTGCTCAAACAGCTTTACATGCAAATACTAAAAGGAGTCATTGTTATGATATATGAGTCATTATATGCCACACAACATATTCGGTATAAAGTGGGGTTTATTGTGGAGAAAAGTGGGAAGGGAAGGAATGGTGAAAACAGAGCCATGAAGGTAGAGGGAGACAGGCAGAGAGAGAAAGAGAGAGAGAGAGACAGAAGAGTGGGGAGATGGAAGTAAGACAGGTAGAGAATAAAAAAGTGTGTGATAGAGTGTGATAGAGAGGGTGGCTTCTTTACCAATGGCCTGACGTGGCACCTGTCAGTGGCAGATGATGTCACTGGGTGCTAGGCAACCTGAAAGACAGCAACTGGTCTGAACTAGCATTCCTCCCTTTCTGTTTAATTGAAAGAGGTAAAGTAAATGAATAAAGTTAATAAAGTTAAAAGTTAAAATGAATTGAGGAGTGGAGAGAGAGAAAAACCAAGAGCACAAAAATGGGACCTTATGAAACTGAAAAGCTTCTGTAAAGCAAAGGACGCTATTGTCAGAACAAAACAGCCTACAGATTGGGAAAGGATCTTCACCTACCCTGTATCTGACAAAGGGCTAGTATCCAGAATACATAAAGAACTCAAGAAGTTAAACAGCAACATATCTAAAAATCTAATTAAAAAACGGGGTACAGAGCTAAACAGAATTCTCAATAGAGGAATATTGAAGGGCAGATAAACACATGCTCAACATCCTTAACTATCAGGGAAATGGAAATCAAAACGACCCAGAGATTTCACCTTACACCCATCAGAATAGCTAAGATCAAAAACTCAAGTAAGAACACATACTGGAGAGGATGTGGAGAAGTGGGAACCTTCCTCCATTGTTGGTGGGTATGTAAACTTGTACAATCACTTTGGAAATAAATCTGGTGCTTTCTCAGACATTAGGAATAGCACTACCTCAAGATCCAGCTATACCACTCCTGGGCATATGTCTAAAAGATGCTCAAGTATACAATAAGGACATTTGCTCAACCATGTTCGTAGAGCTTTATTCATAATAGCCAGAATCTGGAAACAACCCAGATGTCCCTCAGTTGAGGAATGGATACAGAAAATCAATGTCCAGATTATATGGTTGAGGAGGAGGGGAAGCTTCTGCCCTGGGAAGTTGAGGATAGAGAGTGAGTATACCAGCCACACACAGCAGCAGGTAGGGACCGAGGGATGCTGGGAGAACCTGGAGCTGAGGCACAACATCCCAATTTTCTCTTGATAATAAATGGATTAGAGTGGAGTAAACAGTCATCTTTGGTTGCTTCCTGTTGACATTGGGGCAAAAATGGGCAAAAAGCTATAATGTTGGCCAAGTCCAGGAAGAGCAAGCTATCTACTTGGCTGTTCAGGATCTGTGAGACCATCTGTGGCTAGGAAAGAAAATGCAGATCTTGCTGACTGTTAAGTCTGCAGGGTTAGACGGCAGCACCTGTGTATAACTGCTTTGGTGCTGTGTTGAATGTAGAAAACAGCTGGGCATGACAGGCTACTAGAACATAGACAAGGGCATAAGAAGGGTAGGTTAGGGAGAAAAAAA